TCCTCAGTACTCCAGCTTGGGCAAGTTGATAATTTCTGAACAGGGAGAACTAATGAGTTTTGGACATACTGAGTTTGAGGGATTTGTGAGGAATCCAAATAGAGATAGGTTATGGGTAGTTGGGTTATGGACCTGGACTCAAAACATGGATTTTTTTTGAAGATTAAAATAAAATATTTTAAATCACTCTGAAAAATATAGAGGGCTCCAGAGACTAGCTATTAGTTTTGGTTGACTCCATTTAAAAAGGCCCTGAATGTGATATCCAACTAGTCCATGATTAATTGCTGGAGGTAAAACATCATTTGTGGTTTTGTGGAGGTAAAAGAAGACATCAGCATTTTGTCACTGATGACAATGGCATCGTGCCAATCTTAGAAGCCACTTTAGCCAGTGTTCATCAGAAATTATTCACCTGAATTTTAACTGTGAGGCAATTCAACTCTGCAATTTAGTCTTTAAAATTGGTTACTATCAACTGTGGATGGGGACACTGCCTTAACCAAGTGACCACATTCAGCATCTCAAAGAGTGGGACAAGGGGTTTCCCAAGTGGCTCAGTGGTAAAGTATCCACCTGTCAAGCAGGAGACGCAGATTCGATCCCTGGGTTGGAATGATCCTCTAGAGAGGAAATGGCTACCCACTCCAAGATTCTCACCTGCAGAATTCCATGGATAGAAGAGCCTGTCGGGAAAAAAAAAAAAAAAAAAGAAGAGCCTGTCGGGCTACAGTCCATGTGGTTGCAAGAGTCAGTTATGGTTTAGCAACTAAACAACAGAGTGAGACAACATGATATCATGTACCTTCTCATGAGGCTCGATCAGACATTTCCAAAATCAATGATGGAATATTTCTGGCCAAAATGTTAAGCCTGAATCTTTTCAAAAGTCTCAGCCTAATTTCCACTTTAGAGGAACTATATGGAAGAGAGTAACAAGTTAAACAATGTTGTGAGAAACACCCAAACAAATTTAGGACCTGGGGGTGTCTGCAATAGAGCCAGCCTGAACTTCTGTAGGTTAATGCCTTGTGGGGAAAGATGATGGGACTGTCCTAGATTAAAAGAGATTCAAGAGAGGTAGCAACAAAATACAATGTCAGAGCCTTGACTGGATCCCTGTTTTTAAAAAACAAAAAACAAAAACTCTTAATAGTTATTAAGGACATTTTGGGAAAAACTGGGAGGAAATTCGAGCATAAATGGGATATTCACATACACTGTATAACAGTTGAAATTAATTTAATTAAATAATTTTCTCAGTTGTGATAAGGAAACTGTGGTTATACAGGAGAACAGATGTATTTTTTGCAGATGCACGAAGTTTAAAATGTCTGTGACACACTTTCATATGATTAAAATATAGTGCATAGATTTGGCAAAATTATTGAAAAGAAATTGGGGTTTATAAGATTTCATTACACTATTCTTTCAAGTTTCATATATGATTAAAAATTTTCAAAATAAAAATTTTTCAATATTGTAAATTAGGAGAGAGCTTAAAATGATATTTGATCTTAGCACAATCATTTTCATGCCAATATGGTCTCATTATGTTTATAAATGAACCATAATGTCTATCTATACCAGTTATTTCTTGAATTCTATTTGCACAATTTAATTTTCCTGCACAAGCATACTTAATTTTTCCTTTATGGTATTTTGAATATACTATAGTTTAATGACTATGTCTGTGGGCTCTGGAGTAACTTCTCTGTTTCAGTTTCCAAATTCGTGAACAAGGACTTTGTTCTTTTTACTACTGTGTCCCCAAGACTTAGAACACACATAGGTGATAGAGAGTGGCCAAATAATACTTCAAAAACTTTTAATTTTGGAAAATTTCCAGACTTACAAAAAAGTTACGAAAGTGGTGGAGTTCCACCTCACCTTCACCAAGCATCTTTAAATGTTAGCCTCTTGTATAACCATAACACAATGATCAAAACAAGGTAAATAACATTGAGAAGTGCATAATCTACATCAAATGATACTTTTCAAGTGAATCTGTAGAATAAACAAATGTTAATAATAGTTGCTACCTTAAGCACATAAACCTCAGTAAGTGCTCACTGTCACTTATAATAAAAGCATCATTCTGATTACTTCAGCCCTCTAGAGTTTCTATATAGAAGGGGCAGAGGGGTAAAATCTTGTGGGAAGCAGAACTAGGGGACTTGAAGATGCATTTACAGAGCAAACATTATTTGTGTTTAGCTTTTAGTTTTTCTGGCACTGCTATGAAAGCTGCCCTGACAAATTGTCTAGGTCCTGGATCACTCTAGATTAAACATAATAGGGTGTTTAACACAGCACTCCATCCTGTGCTGCAAGGATTTATTCAAAGTTTATTGAACCCCCATTATAAGCCCTGAGCAAACCCGTAACTGAATGATCAACCAACCAACCAAATATATGAACAAACAGGCTAACAACCAAACCAAACAAAAACCCCGAATAGAAAAGCCCTTCCCTTCTAGGAGTTTTCAGTCTAGTTGGTGTAAAAGATAAACAGCCAGTGATAAAAATAACTAGTAAAGCAAATGTAATCACAGAAGTCACTTCTCCAAGACCCTATGAATGTCTCAGGGAACCAGGAGAAAGCTGCTGACTACAGGTAACAAAAATCACAGAGAAGCTAGCAGAATTCTGAGGAAGTTGTGTTCATGTTCCCACCAAAACAAAGCGTCACAGCCTCAAAATGTTCGGTTTCCTCATCTTGGGAGGATCCTGCCTCAAAGATCAGATGGAGTCTTAAACAGTCCTTTACATGCTGGCTCAGGGCTTCCTGTGTCAGGTTGGTGATTTGCTTCCTGATTTTAGCATCCCAGACTCTTGGTGACACCTGCCTTCCCTTGCCTGTCATCAGATCTTTCTGGACCTTAGGCCAGCAGGGATGTTGGCCTGTATTACCATGACAAGGTGGTTTTAAATCCTTCCAACATCAACAAAATATCACCTGAGCCCATTCCGGGCTCCAATTTTGTGTCTGCTGGGTGACAGCAGAATTTTCACATGTCACCATAAAGTAACATCTCTAACAGACATCCTCGGACTTTCTGGTCTTATTGCACAAGACGGTTCTTTTCTTAACTTTCTGTAGATGGCTCTCTCATGCCGTGTATAAACGGAGACTACACCATACTCAAGCAAAAACAAGCAGTAACGTTATTTTCCATTTGCTGCTCTCCAATGCACCACTGCGATTTCTGGGTGCTGAGTTTCCAGTGCAGATAAGAAAGACATACTGCACAAGTTCTAGTATCATATTCAGCTTTAGCCAAATGAGGATTGAGGCTCATGCTCCTATTAAAATCAAATCCTCATATATTTCAAATGCAGTAAAACAAAACCAGAAAATATATTGATAACAAAGACCAAGACATTATCAGGCAATCACGATATCTGATTCATACTTTGGGAAATACAATAAATCACATTCTGATTATAGTATTTCAAATTGGTAGACTAAAGAGTCCATTATGAATTAAATATTTTCTTCTCAAAAACATTGAGTCTATATAACAACTTATCATTTTCATGACTTTAAACATAGCATTTAAGTTACAGTCATTTAATCACAGAGTCCGTGCAATTGCTTATTTTGAACATAACTATGGTGAATATGTAACAATTACTTTTCAGTAACATAAATGAACATCTCATATCTTTTCCCTTTAATTTGAATATGTAAAATTTTCAACTGAGCTGATTTACATGGGGTCATAGTTATAAAACATCCAAGAAATATCTTTAAAATCAATGCAAAATAAAAAAGGTACATATGAATGAATGAGAATAAAAAAGCTGCAGCCACGAGCTATTAAACATGTAATTAAAATGGATTTATCACTTTTGGCTTTGATTTTTTTTCCCTCTCTGTTATTGAATCATTATGGGGATCCCTTGAGTTCAATTATAATTATACACATACACATTATAATGTTTCACATATACATACAGTACATATATAGTCTTTAAAGCTGAAATAATAGAACAATATATATGCAAATTTAAATGTGTAAAATCCAGGTAATTAAAAATTATGATTCCCTAAGCAGCATTAACATACAGATAGTTATGAATCACTGCACTGTATATTAAATTTATATCACAATACATCTCAGTGGTGAGGTAGATTTATGGTGTATGTGGTGAATTCTTTAAACTTCATAACTTACATTCTTAGAGTATTAGGCATAGATAGATGTCTATATTTAATAATTCTGTTCTATATTTATAGGCTTTCTTTGTGTCCTGGACAGTCAATCACTTCCTGCACCAGATCCTCTGCCATGCAAAGTAGCCCTAGATGATTGTATAAGTTTAAAGGGCTATAGTGACATCTCACAACCCTGTTCCTTTGGCCACAGATGAGATAAAGGGTGGACAGGCTCCCTCCCCAGCTTTCTGCAATGAATGGACTTGTCAAAGGCCTGAATGGTGACTAGAATTGAGAATTTTGCACAAGAGAAGAGCAGGTAACTCATTAGAATAATCATATACTCTGATTTTGAATGTGAGCTTCAGGGAAAGCTAAGCAGTTGGTAGGTGGAACAAAATTATTAAAAATGTGAGAAGAAGCTGAAAGATGTCAATAGGGGGAAACTGCTAGAAGAATCCGTAAAGTTCATGTTCCCTGAGATGGCAGCAAGGTAAGCTAGTTGCTAGAGCTGGTTCTCCACAGTCTTCCAGGTGAGACTCTGTTATGAGTTGAATTGTGTTCTTCCCAAAACAAACGGGCGTCCATGATAGCTCAGTTGGTAAAGAATCCTCCTGCAATGCAGGAGGTCCTGATTCAATTCCTGGGTTGGGTAGATCCGCTGGAGAAAGGATAGGATACCCACTCCAGTATGGTTGGGCCAAAACAAAAGTTGAAGTCCAATCACCTGGTTCCTGCGATTGGGACCTTATTGGAAAAAGGGTCTTTGCAGATGTCATCAAGTTAAGATCAGGTTGTTAGGGTGGGCCCTAATTTCATGTGACTGCTGTCCTCATAGGAAGAGAAGAACGCTTTATGAAGGCAGGGAAGGAAGAGAAGAACGCCGTATGAAGATGGAGGCAGAAACTGAAATGCTGCAGCCGCAAGACAAGGTATGCAAGGAATGGCCAGTGAACACCCAGGAGCTGGGAAAAGGCAAGGAAGGGTTCTCCCTTACAGGTTTAAGGCACTTTGATTTCTGATTTCAAGTCTCCAGAACCATGAGATGATACATTTCTGTGGCTTTAAGCCTCTCAGTTTGTGATACTTTGCTCTGGTGGCCCTAGGAAACCCATCTGCCTCTTTGAGTCAACTTGCCCAAGTTTCCTGTCCTCTCATGAAGGAAGATTGGTTGTCTGACTCCTAACAGTACCAGTGAAGTTGCTCAGTTGTGTCTGACTCTTTGTGATCCCATGGAGCCTACCAGGCTACTCCATCCGTGGAATTTTCCAGGCAAGAGAAATGGAGTGGGTTGTCATTTCCTTCTCCAGGGGATCTTCCTGACCCAGGGATCGAATCCAGGACTCCCACAGTGCAGGCAGACACTTTACTGTCTGATCCACTAGGGGAGCCCTGTCTGGCTGCTGAATCCCATCAAATAGGAAGTGAACTGACTCTACCATCCTTGACACCAAAATATGAGTATTAACTGGATTCAGGAGTAAGACTGTATGCAGTGGAGGCTGACAGAAACTGAAAAACACGTGGAACTGGTTATAGTGATGGGGCAGGATAACGGCAGTGAGAGTTCCCTCCATATCATGGCTGATGTGCTGGTCGTCTGCACTCTATGGTGATGGACGAATTCATTAAGCCATAACATGCTGTCTCTAGATACTTATATAACATGTCCACCAAAGGTAAGTCTTAGCAGGTTTTTGTAACTCTAAAGACGAAATTCCCTGGAGAATGAAATGGCAATCCACTCCACTGGAGTGGATTGCCAGTTCTTGCCTGGAAAGTTCCATGGACAGAGGAGGCTGGTGGGCTACAGTCCAAGGGGTCGCAAAGAGTCGGACATGACTGAGCACACACATAGGTCCAAAAGGGCTATAGAATTGTAGGGTCAGCTGAATTCCTGATTAGTCCATATCTCCATGCAAGAATTTAGAGCATAGGTGGCAGAGTTTGGAATCTAAATAATGAGAAAATCTGGGAAATAGGAGAGGTTAAATGCGTTGCTCAAGCTCATAACAATTTTATGGTATGTATATTATACCACAATTTAAAAAATGGATAAAAGCACTTAGCTTATCATGAGTCAGGCAAAGAGGAGTAAAGTTATTATTTGAAATGTGAAAGGATGTATCTAAGATTATATGTGTCAACATTTAAGGCTGAAGTTGGAACAAGATCAGTGCCAAAGGCCTGATATTCTCCACCAAATGTGATCTATTGAAACAATGAAGGATTTGTCCCTGTGGAAGTCTTATTATTACAGTGTTTATGTTTTGCTGAAATGTCCTAGTGGAGAATGGAACAAAAATTTAGGATAGTCCAATCTTTATGATCTCAAAAAATGGGGAGTGTCATATTGCATCTAATACTTTGGAAGTACTGGGGGAAATAAAATGATAAAAGACACAAAGAGGTAGCAATCAAGTACTTATTTACTTTCTAATACGTTGCCTAAAAGAACTCACAGAATTCAGTTCCATAGTGTTTACCTGAAATAGGCAGTTTGTTTATCTGAAATATGGGCTTCCCTGGTGGCTCACATGGTAAAGAATCTGCCTGCAGTGCGGGAGTCCTGGGTTCGATCCCTGGATTGCGAAGATCCCCTGGAGAAGGGAATGGCTACTCACTCCAGTATTCTTGCCTGGAGAATTCTATGAACTGAGTAGCCTGGCAGGCTACAGTCCATGGGGGTCGCAAAGAGTCAGACATGACTGAGTGACTAGCACTTTACCTGAAATATGAAAGAATAATTTGACTTTTCTAGCCTACATATATCCTGTGTATCCCTGTGGCCAGTCTGTTGCTTAAACAGAGGATTCAAAACAAAGGTGAAAACCTTAGTGTTGTCATGTACTGTCTTTGTCCCATTCTCTGGGTGTTCCATTCTTTTAAATATAATTGAATGTTAGACCTAAGCTTGATTCCTGAAAGAGAAAGGAAGATAAAGGATTTTCTGTTTTTCTCTTGGTAGAATAAAAATCATACCAGCCTGTAAGCTCTCTCCTTTGCCCCCACATCAAACCAATCAACCAATGAGCCAACAAATCCAAATTCTTGTACTAAAAGCTCCTTTGCTTGTCTGAGCATCTTCTCACATTATTCAGAGATTAGTCCCATTCTAGAGACAAATTTTTCACGCTTCATCAAGAAAATGCACATGTTTAGAAGATGCTAATTGTCAAGGATAGGCAAGAGAGGGGAAGGGGGAACAGACATTTTTCAACTGGCAACTCTTCTTTTAAACCTTTCAGTTTCAGCATGATGTAGAAAGGACTATCTCCATATTACAGAAAGAAGGTGTTTACCCAGTCTAGATCATTCAGCTGGTGAGTGACAGAGCTTGTTCTGTCTGACTCCAAGTCGGGTGTTTTTTCTGTATCACCCAGGCTCTCATATTAAGAGAATGTGTATTCAGGGATAAAGTGGATTTTTATTTAACAATTTCCATAAATATCCTACTTCCCTCAGATTTTGCAACAGCTAAAACCTCTTTTCTTAGGATAGTTCACTAGTATCCATGCACACAGAAACACAAACATACACATACCTCATAAGTCCTAAAAATGAAAACAATCTGCTGATTTGTGATTCCCAAGTTTCCCAAGTGTCTCTGATATTTGTAATACGTCAACTTATGCCAGTGAATGCCTTTTTAGGCTTAGCAGCTGGATGGTGCATATTTTGAAACAGTGATGATAACCAATAATGATAAGGCTCCATTGAAGCTAATATTTGATTTAATACGAAGAACTGCCTTTCAATTTAGAAAATCTTTAGTAAGCTGATTTTGGAAAAAAATAGACCATTCTTTAATCAACACATATGATGCGAGCTTTGCTATTTTAATTTTACTGTATCTGCTTTCTCTTTTGCTTATTAATCAAAAACAATTCTGTTTCTTGGCTTGGAGGAGATGATGCTAACAAAATATACTGTAATTGTTTAGAAGTGATTTTCTCCCGAGATCCAGGAAGCTTAAGTAGTTGAGTTTCCTATTACTTTCTGCCCCCTGGGTTTTACATTAGTTCTGCACTGAGTTTCTTGTCTAGTGTGTTTGTCGGAGTAAACGATTAGGCAGGGGAGGCTCCAGGGGACTGTTCTTGGCAGGAGCAGGTTGCGCTTAACTACCTTCTACTTGCATGCACCTGATGCAGTCGGTTATTAACAGGGTTTGTGGAATCAATGAGTACAATATCTCTTTTCTTAATAGGTGTACGCAAAGGAAAAAAAAGATGTAATAACATTTATCTGCAGGTGCGTCCTATGGTCTTAATCCAAGAAACAGAATTTTGTAGAGTTCTTGACAGCTGTTTCCCTTGTTCTCTGTTTTCATTGCACAGGTTGAGCCATGAATATTCAAAACATGGTCTGCCTGACTATGCCACCCATGGGAAAAATCAACAAGAAGCGATGTATATGGTAGAAAGGAATGGGCGACAACAGCTATTGCAAATAGAGAGGTAGGAATTAAGCATAGACAAGCTGGAATAATGGGAGAGACCATTAGGGCAGGATTTTACAAGATGAGATAGCTTGATATCAATGCCCAAGTTTTAATATCAACCAGCACTCTTGAAGGGCTTCCCTGGTGGCTTAGACGGTAAAGAATCCCCCCTCAATGCCAGAGACCTGGGTTTGATCCCTGGGTTGGGAAGATCCCCTGGAGGAGGGCATGGCAACCCACTCCAGTGTTCTGGCCTGGAGAATCCCCATGGACAGAAGAGCCTGGCGGGCTACAGTCCATGGGCTCGCAAAGAGTTGGACACAACTGAGCAACTAACCACACACCCAGTGCTCTTGAATACATGGAGGACCCGGATGGCCTACAATTCATCCACACTGTCTGAATGCTGAAGATGAAGCCAAGTTTTGTGACTGTTCACAGAAAATTTGAAGTATAAGTTTCTGTAACCTTGTTTTATCATCTTTCTAGTGAAGAAATTATTTACCTTTCCTCCCTCTCTTTTTCTTTCATTCTTTTCCATCCTTGCCTTTCTCTTCCGTCTCCATCTCCTCCTCCTCTTTTTTTGACTCATCTTCCTATTCTTTTTCTGAAGCTCTGAGGCCTTCTTTGCTGCTAGTTGGGAAGAAAAATTGGAGACAATGAAAGCCACATGGGTCTGTTTTTAATTGGAGTATAACTGCTTTGCAGTGTTGTGTTAGTTTGTGATGTACAACATGAATCAGCTATATGCATACATACGTCCCCTCCCTCTTGAGGCTCCCTCCCACCCACCCCACAACCCATCCCATCCTTCTGGGTCATCACAGAGCACCGAGCTGAGCTCTCTGCACTATACGGCTAGTGAGTCTTCATAATGAAAGGGGAGGGAGAACTTCGGAAGGAAACATCTAGTTAAGGGTTGAAGGCTAGAGGAATGATTACCCGCAAGAGGCTGGGAGAGGGAAGAAGAAGTATGTTCTGGTACAGAGAAATACAGAACTGTGCGGCTAAATGGCAGAGGGAACTTCTGCGGAGGAAAGAAAATACATGGTAAAGGTTGCTATGGGATACATGACATAATCTCCGTGTCTATAGATTGTGTTAGTCACTCAGTCCTGTCTGACTCTTGCAACTGCATGAACTGTAGCCCACCAGGCTTCTCTGTCCGTGGAATTCTCCCGGCAAGAGTACTGGAGTGGGTTGCCATTTCCTCCTCCAGGGGATCTTCCCGACCCAGGGATCGAACCCGGGACTCCTACATTGCAGGCAGATTCTTAACCATCTAAGTTACCAGGATATTTCTCCATATCTATACTTCCAGTCAAACTACTGAATGCTCTGTGTGTGTGTGTGTGTGTGTGTGTGTGTGTGTGTGTGTGTATCTGTTATGTCAATACAGACTACTGGGCATTAGGTAAAAGCAGAACTGACCCAGTATGACCCAAGGAAATTTTTTTCTTTAATTCCTATCCTCTGTTCAGAGAAATATTATAAAAATTATTTAAAAATAGGAATTACTTGGAATTTCCCTGGAGGTCCAGTGGTGAAAGTTGTGCTGCCAATGCAGGGGTGCGGTTCGATCCCTGGTCGGGGAACTAAGATCCCGCATGCCATGCAACATGGCCAAACGATTTTTTAAAATTTTAATTTTTTTTAAATTAAAAAAAGAGAAAAATAGGAACACTTCCTTGAGTGTCTTCTAAATGACCTACTACAGTCAAATGAGACTACTCACAGCTTCCTGAGCTTTTTGCCCCTTTTTATCTCTGCACTTTTGTGCTTATGTTTTAACCTTAATATCCTTTGTCACTTCCGTTCCTCCAGGCTGTTAAAATCCTTCTAAACTTAGAAAGTTCAAATACCAACTTTTCTTTAAAACCTTCTCTGACTCCTGGGCTGGAAAGTATTTTCCTTTTTAATTCCTATCCTCTGTTTGCAGTTCTTTCAAGTCCCTGTCCTGTATTACAGACACACAAGTGGGTGTCTCTATTCTGAGCATGTGAACCCCTCCTATGAAGATATCCTGTTCTATGCATCCCTGAGTCAACCTAAATCCTCAATCAGTAAACTTAGCAGATGCTCAGTAAACATCTAAAGAACAATACATGCTTGGTTCCCCAACTATAGTTTTTTTTGTTTGCATTTTCATTTAGAATTTATGGGTTATTTTTTAAAAGCTATTTTGTGGGTAAAATTTCCTTCCCAAAGTACAACCCTGAGAGGTAACTTTGGCAATAACAAATTGAAATTGCCATTAGAGTTCTAAAACAGGCAAGTTGAAAAAATAATCAAGAAGTCCTTTAGAGGATACTATTTGTATTTCAATAACTAAATTATAATAGGTGTTTATCATTTGGGAAATACATTTACAAACTAAAATTGTTTGGAAGTGAAAGACAGCAAATGTGTCATTCTAAAGAATTTTATGAGCCTGGAAGGGGGTCCTTGCTGTTATCTATCTGTGTCTTAAATTAAAAGAAGAATTGTAAAATGCAAATTACCCCTGAGTCAGAAAATGTAAGTAACCTGAGGTGATAATTAGAGGCGGTTTTCATATTTCCCCTGTGGAAAGAATGGATACTCGTGGCTGTGCACATTTCTCAGTTTTCAGATTGTCCCTATGCCCTCTGGCAAAAAGTTAGAAGAGAAATTCTGACTTGAGACACTGCTTGGAAGAAATAGTAAGCTCTCAGAGAAATGCACGACAGCTATATATATCAACACAGATGAATTTCAAAAACACACTGATTAGTGAAAAAGCAAATCACAGAAGAAAATGGACAGGATGAGTCCCTTACATAAAGTTAAAAAACAGAGGAAACAAAACAATATGTTGTTGAGTGATATACGTGTAGTATTAAACCTTAGAAAATAGGAAACAATACAAAATTGAAGAAGTGAACTTTATACCTCTTTGAAGAGGTGGAAGGGAAGGTAAATTTAGGAGGGAATAACATGGGGCTTCAAAGTTACAGATAATATTTTCTTTCTTAAGCTGGAGGGATGGCTTTATAAAACTATATCTATATGTTATGTACATCTTTGTGTATATGATATTATTAATGTTTAAATATAAATATAAATCATAACTCCACAGTCCCGTTGCAAAATTGGTGTGTGTGTGTATATATATATCAGCTTGGTAAAGAGTTGTGTCAAGGGTTATGCAAGAGTATATAGTACACATAGGATTTGAGAATATCACCTTTAGTCAAAGTGTTGTGGGCAAAACATTTTAAAATGAAAGTATACTGCAATATCTAATGGAATAAAACAAAGCACTTGCATGAGGTTTCTACGATAAAATACATGTCTTGCCAAGAAAGTTGTTGCTTGCAGTGAGCAATTTTAAGCTTGACCCCACATCAGGCAAGATGCTCATTCATTGTCCTCTATGGTAATGGATGGTGCAGGGAAAGAATTTGGGAAGCAGTCAGAGAAAGGTGAGCCAGCAGGGAGAGTAGATTCATGGCTTGTCTCAGGATACAGCAAAGGGGTGTTTATAAATACAACCCTGTAGCATATGGTGTTACATAAGCTTGCTTCCTTTTTGCTATTTTGGAGAACACTGAACAAATTCCTTTGGAGTGCCTTTGCTGAAATAGCTGTTGTTTCTGGTGCCCCCTAGAGGTTACTGGTGATACAATAATAAATTAGTCTCTAGTTCTCAAGAGATTTTTGTACCAAGTCACTTCTAGCAGAGGGAGTGAGAGTTTCAGGAGAGTTTATAGGGACATATAATACAACTCAGACCAAAGAGCTATCAACAAGGAAAAGGAAACTTTGGGATGCAAGAAACAGGCATCCTTAAAATGCAGAAAGACTTTCTTACTATCCATTGTCCAAACATGAATTGAGTTGTCTCTTGCCAAGGTTGGGGATGTCAGTCTTCCTAATGTATGCATATAATGAGTGCATACAGACCAGAGTAAAAGTTGTCTTTCTAGATGAGCAGGGTAAGGATATTCAGGAAGTCTGGATTCAATCATTCTGCAAATATTTATTGAGTGTTCACTATGTGCCAGGCACTATGCTGGCCAATAGCGTTACACTGATGAGTAAAAACATCAGTACTGCCCTTTGGACAGTGATGCCCTTTACTAGACGTATGTCTAGTACAGAAGAGGGAAATAATTAACCAAATAACATGCAAATAAATATATGATTAAAAGCAGTTAAAATGCTGTGGAATGAAGGTACGTGGTGCTAGAAGAAGAGGTGTTGTATAAGAGAAGGATTAGACGTGGTGGTGGAATGGATCTAGAACTTCTCTGAAAAAATGACGTTTAAACTGAACTCTGAAGGAGAAGCAGAAATTAACTTTCTGCATTGGGATGGGGTGATATTGTGTTTTAGAAGAGACACCATACGTGCAAAGGTCCTGAGGCAAGATGCAATATCCATGGTAGGTCTAGAAAATGAAAGAAGACCCTTATGCCTATAGTACAGATAGTGAGGGGGCTGAGGCAGACATAAAGAGGGCCTTGAGGGCCATTTTAGGGATTTAGGTCATTATCTTCTAAGCAATGAGAAGCCATTGAAGCATTGTACACAGGAGAATAATATGGATCAGATATATGAGGAGAGTATTATAACTTAAGGGTAAAGAATAGATGGAAAGACACATAATCAGGAAAACCAGTTAGGATGAATTGTGAACCAAAGCAGTGGATAATGGTAGTTCAGCTTATTAAGTTCTAAGGAGTATTTAGAAGGTTAAATCTATAGGGCGAGCGCTGTCATTGGGAAAGAAGCAGTTGTCATTTGTTCTTTCTGGGAGAAGGAGGTGTTTGGTAATTTTGTGGTTGCACAGTGTTCAGGCTTGTTTACGGAGTGGTCGTGTTTTTTATCTTGTTCATAACCATGGCATCCTCACATGATGACAATATTAGGGGAAGCTGTTTATGCTGCTGCTGCTGCTGCTAAGTCGCTTCAGTTGTGTCCGACTCTGTGCGACCCCATAGACGGCAGTCCACCAGGCTCTGTTGTCCCTGGGATTCTCCAGGTAAGAACAAT